TAGCCAGGTGGCGTAAGTGCTTTACATTTGCTAGCTCTTGCAATTCTTACAACAACTCTGCTTCCCAAGGGAGGAAACTGACACTGAAGAGGGTGTTGCTTGTCCTGGATGCACAGCCGGCAAGTGGCAGAGCGCGGATTCAAACCCAGGTTTTATGACTCCAAAGTCCAGGCTGTGAAACTCTGTGCCCTGCTTCTTTCCTCAGCAATCAACAGCCCAAAGTTCATGTTTATGGACAATAGTTGAAGCTAGCTTCTGGAGATAAAATCTAATCTGTGGGAGATCTCTAGGAACCCTGAGCACTGGTTCGTTTTAAATGAAATACACCCGTGCGCTCATGCACTGCCACCTCGCTCATCCTCCCCGATTCCGTGGCACAGAGCAAGAAGGACTCCTAAGAGCAATTCAATGTGGTGATGAAGTCCTTGAGTTTCCGGCAGCCTCCACCTGCACGATGTGTACGTTTCCAGGCGGAGCGTTGCGTGATGGAGAGGGGTGCTCATTGGGGAGGTTCGTTTCCAGGGGACCGTGGTGGTCCTCGCCTGTGCGGTCGGTACAGGTGAACGATGTGTGTGATTTGGAAATTGCTTCGGGAGGGTGTCGGGTTTCGAAATGGAGATGTGTTCGCACAGTCACACCCTTGGAAACCAGCCAGTTCGCACGGAGCCGGTGACCATTCGTCCGTGCGTCCTCGGGAGGCCCGGCCAGAGGGACTGGCGCTCGCCCCACGCGACAGGCCTGTGTCCTGGCAGTTCTCGCCGCAGATGCCTTTTGCCAAGAGCAGTTGTGAGGGTCGTGCTGCCCGGGATGAAAGATGGCCCGGTGTGAGAACGGCCTGTTGCCGGTCTCGTGCGATGGGAGTCAGTGTCCCCGGAGCGTTTAACGTCTGATGCCATTGTCCCGAGTCGCGCACTGCCAGCCGGGCGCACAGGTGCGTGTGGTGTGCGGCTCTGGCAGGCCCGTCCCCAGGCCTGGGCGCGTTCTGGCACCGAATCGTGAAGGGAGTTTAAGAAATTTACATTTTAGTGAAAAACCACAAGGCACGCTTTCAAAATAAAAAGTTAAGTTTCTTTTGCCAAAAATAATTTTTTAGACCATCTCCAATATATGGCTTGTTTTCTGCCTTAATGATGAAAAATGGCATAGTTTTATTTGCAATAACATCCTGTCTGTTCTATTGTTTTGTATTTTAAGTCTGGGAGGGGGTCTTTGGTGGACAGAGGAGCTGCTGGACTCATGGGATTTTTGTGCAAATAACGCTGCTTTGAGGGAACTTCCCAGGCTTGTCGGGCTGGGGCCGGGGAGCCCCTCTCGTAGACCAACCCTGGAATCCGGCCGGTCTGCCCTGAAGCAGGTCCAAGGTTTCCCTTTGGGTGGTGACGGGCTCCCCACACGACACTCACACCACCCGAAGGGCAAGTGGTAGAACCCTGGCCTGGACTGAGATCCCTGGGTCCCCAATTTCTCCTGGGAGGTGGGGCTGTTGCCTGGAGAGTGTTGTCTGTGGTCTGCAGTTCTCCTAGGACAGCCCTTCGCTCTCAGCAGTGAGAGGGAGCTGGGGAAATGGCAAAGTAGCCTGGCCGGTGTGGCTCAGGGGTTGAGCATCGACCTGTGAACCAGGAGGCCAGGACTCAATTGCCAGTCAGGGCTCATGTCCGGGCTGCAGGCTTGATCCCCAGTGTGGGTCGTGCAGGAGGCAGCCGATGGATGATTCTCTGTCATCGTGAGCCTTTGCTCAGGGCAGACTGAGGCCTGTTTGAGTGGTAGTGCCTGTCGGGGTCTCCCCGGCCACCCCCTCCTCAGCCCCTGGGGTGTGCTGAAAATCTGATTCTAAATCTTGTTCCCTTTAGTTTTAGTGTTTTTAAAAACTTGATTCTGACATCTTTGAGATTTGTACACGTCTAAGCCATTTCACAGAACAGTTCATATCAAAAGTGAGCTCATAGAAATTACAGAACAATAGCAAGTTAGAGACATTATAAGAAAATACAAAAATGAGGAATCTTTAGCACTGCATGTGATGACTGGACAAAGATAGTTACGGGGATTTATGTATCTCCATTTCTTCCTCCATGATGGAGGCATTTTATAGTTATAAGTTTTTCTCTTTCTGGCAATTTTCAAGTCTCATGGAAAAGGGAGAAAAGAACTTAAAGAAAAGACTATGAAACACCTTCAAGAAATTATTTTATTGGCTAATTCAGGGGGAGACAGGAGCAGTAGAGAACCCCTGCTAATGGAGGCTATAGGGTCTTATCTCTGAGAACCTGGGAGTTGCATAAAAGTCCAAATGATTTTCAACATGAGTAAGGTGAGAAAGGGTGTAGGAGAACTTCCCTTTAAAGGTATCAGAGGCAGATGAACGAGAAGTGAGTATGTGCCGGGCTGGTGTGGCTCAGTGGTTGAGCATTGACCCAGGAACCAGGGTCAGTTCCCGGTCAGGGCCCATCCCAGGTTGTTGGCTTGACCTCCGGTGGGGGCCGTGCAGGAGGCAGCCAATCGATGACTTCCTCTCTCATTGATATTTCTCTCTCTCTATTCCCTCCCTTCCTCTCTGAAATCAATAAAAAAAATATATTTTTTTAAAGAAATAAGTACACTATGAGATTTTCCATTAATTCATGGTCTCTGTAGCCTGATTTATTCTTTCTTTAAAATTGATTTTTAGAGAGAAAGGAAGGGAGAGGGAGAGAGAGAAACATTTATGTGAGAGGGAAACATCTATTGGCTGCCTCCTGCACGCCCCCTCCCAGGGATCCAGCCTGCAACCCAGGCATGTGCTCTGACTGGGAATCGAACTGGCAACCTTTCGGTGCCCGGGAAGACGCCCAATCCACTGAGCCACACTGGCCGGAGAGTAGCCTGACTTACTCTTCTGCTCGGACCTTGTTCACGTGGGGGGGAGGGGGCGGGGGGTGTAGTGTACTGGAGGGTGGTCGGGGGTTCCCCAAAGAGGGCCCACTGGCCCCGCGCCTCACTGCTGGAATCTAGGGAGTCCAGCGTTCCCCATCAGAACTTTCCACTTTTTTGTTTATTATTTTACTCTTTATGAAGAAGGGTGGACTCCATCAGACTTTTTAAAATACTGTGTTAAAAACCCCTATATTTAGTATAATCATGTAATTATTTCTCATTCCCGAATATTGAGCTACCATTTGATTTATTTTATAGTCACATTGATACCAAGCGACCACCTCAATGGCATCATCTATTTTGTGAGTAGTTGTTTGTGAATTAATTGTGTGAAGGTGTTCACCGAAGAAGAGGCTCAGGCTGCAATGAAGAAGGAAAGGGGTCCATGGGGGCGGGGGGGGGGAGGGGGGGGGGGGGGACACCTGTAAGACTTCCAGCAGGAGAGATACACAAACAAACAGTGCAGAGCAGCAGGTCAAAAAAGAGAAGAAAGAACCGATGGCCTCAGACGCAGACAGCAAGCCCGCGGTGCTCTGGGGGGAACGAAGGAAAGCAGGGCTCACAAAGGCGCACGCCGCGACCTGGCACTGAAACTCCCGCAAGTGAAGGCTGGCAGGCCGCTAACAGGGGCTGCCTGGTTCTCAGGCCCAAAGGAGCGAGGCGAACACTACAAGGAAAAGAGTAAAGTCCACGGGTGGGTTGTGGTTCCAGGGTGTTTGTTTATGGCTCGGCCTTGGGCTGAGTTTAGCAACAGGCTCAGCAACTTAGGGCAGCTCTGAGCACAGGCTCCAGACATGCGGCCCCACTTCCTTGAGAGCCTCCAGCTGCCGCAGTGCCTGTCTTAGGATGCTCAGCCCATTCTATTCCATTCTCCTGTTACCAACCTGTTACCAAAGGTGACCACAGGAAAAGCAACTCGGCTGCCTCAGGTAATGTTTCCAGAGTAATTACTTCAGGTGCGCCTGCCTGCTGGGGTACAGGAAGTCCTGGTTAAAGAGGACGCTGCCCACCTCCCGATTTCGGGGCCCAGCGTGAGCACCTCCAACCGTGAGATTCGGCAAGTCCCCTAAGGCTTGGGCTTCTGTTGCCTTGTACCGAACCTAAGTTCGGCGAGAGCTGGGCAATCCCTAAACTTAATTTTCATTTCAGAATCTATGACGCTGTATCTTTCTTTTTTTTAATGGAAAAAGCATCAGGGAGAAGAAAATGGGTTCAGTTGACAAGGTCTTGGGGGAAATTTCCAGTACCACCTTCTTCTTCTTTTTTTTTAAATATATTTTTATTGATTTCAGAGCGGAAGGGAGAGAGATAGAAATATCGATGATGAGAGAGAATCATTGATTGGCTGCCTCCTGCATGCCCCCCACTGGGGATGGAGCCCGCAAACCCAGCATGTGCCCTGACCAGGAATGGAACCCTGACCTCTTGGTTTATAGGTCAATGCTCAGCCACTGAGCCACTGCGTCTGGAGGGGGAGGAGGGAGAGGGAGAGGAAGGAGAGGGGGAGGGGAGGAGGAGGGAGAGGAAGGGGAGGAGGAGGGGGAGGGGAGGAGGAGGGGAGGGAGGAGGAGGGGGAGGAGGAGGGAGAGGAAGGGGAGGAGGAGGGGAGGAGGGGGAGAAGAGGGAGGAGGAGGGAGAGGGGGAGGAGGGGGAGGAGGGGGAGGAGAGGGAGGAGAGGGAGGAGGAGGGAGAGGGGGAGGGGGAGGAGGGGGAGGAGGAGGAGGAGGGGGAGGAGGAGAGGAGGGGGAGGAGGAGGGAGAGGGGGAGGAGGGAGGAGGGGAGGAGGAGGAGGAGAAAGAAGTCACAAAGTGCAGAGACTCGCCTGCGTTTAAAAAGAAAAGAGAAGACGTGAAGGGAACGTCTGTCCCGGCGCAGGGCTGCGGGGAAGGGGGGGCAGCAGTAACCACTGCGCGCGTGTCCTGGGTCCGGGCTGGAGGCAGGCGGTTCCGATTGGGCTCCTGCTGCTCCGGGCTTTTCCTCTGGGAGTAGCGCAGCCGGTGTGAACTCCTGGGACACAGGGAGGAAGGGACCGCCCGGCCCCGGGGCGGGAGGAGGCGCCCAGGGCAGCGGGACCGGGCGGGGCGGTGTCTGCTCTCCCCGAACCCGGGAAGGTGGGGCCCCAGGAAACACCCCCTGCACCCTCGGGGCGTCCCCGGCCCGGAGCGCGTCCCCTTCTGGCCGAGAGGGGGCGCCCCGGTCCCCGCCCGCGGCCCGGAGCCCGGCTCCCGCTCCCGCCCCCGGCCGCCGGCGCGGTTTGGTTCGGCTTTGGCGCGGGCGCCGATCGGGTCGCTCAGCTCGGGGAGCGGAGGGCGAGCGGGCGGAGGAGGCGGCGCCGGGCCCAGCGGCCGGAGCGGAAACTTTGCTCCGGGCCGCGACTCGGAGCGGCCTCGGGCGGAGGTCGGAGCCCAGGTCCCGGAGGAGGGCGCCGGCTCCCCGCGCCCCGCCGGCGGCCCGCCTGCATCCGACCGGCTAAGGTACGAGGAGACCCGACCGACCGACTGGGGTCCCGGCGCCAGCCCGGCTCCGGGGGGCGGCGATCTCGGGGGAACCGGCGCCCCGGGCGGAGGGCGCGGGCTGCGAGCCGATAGCGGGCGGACGGGAGCGGGAGGACCTCGTGCGGGGCTGCGGGTGCCCCCTCCTCCCGGACCGGGCCGGGACCTGTTGACCACAGTGTCTCCGGGAGGACGGGGAGGTGGGGACGCGGCGCCCCGATCCCGGAGCGGAGCCCCCTCCAGCCTTTGTGCAACTTGGGCCGCGCGGGGCGGGCGGCGGGACGGAGCCGGGGGGCGCCCTGGGTCCCGGCGAGGCGCCCGGGAAGGAGGGAAACTTCCCCGCGGAGCCCCCGCTTTTGTTGGCGGAGCGCGGGCCCCGGGTGGGGTGGGGGTGCGGGGCTGGGAGGGCCCGGGCTCGGCGGCGCCCAGGGGGTCCCCATTGGCTCGGGGGGGCCCAGGGGGTCCCCTGTGGCTGGGGGGTGGCCCCCATAGCTCCTCTGGCGGGCGCTGCGCGGGAGGGCGCACGGCGGGCGGGTGCGGAGACCACCCTGGTGTCGCTGCCCCACAGCCCGGCCCCTCCGCCAGGTCCTCCCCAGGGTAGGGGCTGCCTCGGACCGGACCGAACCCCGCACCTGGGGGCTCCCCGGAACGCGGGCGGCTTCTCTCGGGTGTGTTTACGCCGCTGGGTGGGACCTGGAACGGGGAGCGGGGATGGGCACGTGGCTGGGGGGCCAGGAGCCCGCTGGGTGCGCGCACCCCGGGGAGGGTCGGCCGCGGCCCGGCTGGTGCCCGTCCCGGCTCCTGGCACTTGCACCCCGACATCCACGCCCCGCGCCCGCCGAGAGCTGGGCGAGCCCCCTGAGATCGGCCAGGGGTGCGAGGCCCTGGTTCGGGACCCGCTTTAAGGAAAGCGACAGCGTTGCACCCGCGGGAGGATGGAAGTTTGGGGGTTCCGGTGAGGACCCACGTGTCCATCTCCAGGGCGCGCGGGGGGGCAGGGGGGCGAGGGCGCTGACGGGGCGGCGGGGACATGGGGAGCGCTGGGCGGTCGGAGCTTTGGGGGAGCTGGGCGCGTGTCTGGTTTGCAGGTCTCCCCGCCTCTCCGCCGGCCCTTCCCTCCGTCCCCCCCAAAACCCGGCGCTTTGCTAGAAACCCCGCACCGGGTCTGGCCCCGCAGCGCCCTGCCCGCCGGGTCCTTGGAGCCTCCTGGAGCCGCGCCCCAGGACTGTCACCAAGTTTGAGGACCGACCGGAGGGACGAGGGCCCCGGCCGGCCCAGAGGGAGCTGGCCCGGCTGGAGGAGCAGGGAGGCCGCGGACCGGGGGGAGCTGCTGGGTGCGCTGGGGCTTGAACAGGGGTTCCCCCTTTCGCAGTGAGCATGTTTCAGGGACTAGATCCGCCTTCTTGGCAAAAAGGGAAACCGAGCAGCTCAGCCGGCGTGGCTCAGGGGCTGGGCATCGGCCTGTGAACCGGGAGGTCAGGGTTCGATTCCCGGTCGGGGCACAGGCCCGGGTTGCAGGCTCCATCCCCAGTGTGGGTGTGCGGGAGGCAGCTGGTCCAGGATTCTCTCTCCCTTCCTCTCTGACATCAATAAAAGTATTTATTTTATTTTTCTAATTTTATTTTCATGTTTAAAGTATTACAAATAGTAGTACATATGTCTCCCTCCCCCGCCCCCCCCCCATGGAAAAGTATGTTTTTTAAAAAAGTAAACTGGACATGGAGTCAGTGGGATGTGCCCCAGGAGAGCGACCGGGCCGTGGGAGTGGGAATGGGGGCCCCCGGTGGGTGGCCCTGGAGCGCAGTGGCCCAGGCTGGCCGCTGAGCCCGGTTTGCAGATGCTCACACTTGGTTGCGATTTGTCTCCTCAGCATGGACCGGGCTTGCTGGGCTTGCTGACACGTCCCTCCCTCGACCTTGACCTTCTTTGTTTTCACGGCCAGTGAGAAGCGGAGGCTTGAGCTCCGAGCAGATGGTTTCCCCCTAAATGGGATAATTCAGTGAGGAGCCCCCAATGGCACCGATTTGGGTCATGGAATTAAAGTGGAAAAGCGTGCCCGGCATGCCTGCCCGTGTTTGCCGGAAGGATCCTGGTGCACGGGGTCTCCTTGCTCGTCACTGCAGGGCTGGCATCGGCGCCTCGGTGTTTCCCAGGACATGGGCCCCGCACTCCGGCCCTGCTGCCTCTGAGTTCCAGGATCCCAGAGCCTTCTCTGCAGGTCACATCCTTCTTTGATGCAGTGAAGAGTGTGTTTGTCCTTTTTCTTTCCTCTTTCAGGGAGTCGGTCCCCTCCCGCGGGTTTGGGGCAGGATCGGTGACGCACACGCTGCGTTTGCATTTCCTCTGGACGGTGCGCTGGCGATGGTGCCCACAGTGCGGGACTGGCCGGGGCGCGCGGAGGAGGATGGGTCGCCCTTGGCTAAGTGCTTGCCTGTGATTTCCCTGTTGCCGCTCGCAAAGTAGAGGAACCTTCCTTTCCGTAATCACCAGCCCGAGCGAGCACTGAACAGATGACATGATGTTCATAGGGTTTTAGGCGCAAAAGCCAGGGTGTCGGGCTTAGTCGGTTCACTTGAAATGCTGGAGATAACACAGTCGCACTAACATGGAGAGCTCACACAGAAGGCGGCATGTCCGCCGTTAACTTACAGAAAGTATTGCTTTAGCATTTCAATCGTGGCGAATGCTTCATTAGACTAAAGTGTGATACGTGTTAATTTCTGAGCCTCTTGGGTGAGATTGTGTTGTGGTTAAAGCTGAGTCATTCTCTCAAGCAGAAAAGAACAGTCAGCAAATTCCTTCATTTTATTTCGGTTTGTGTTTATGCTCCGACCGATCTGAGCTCGGCTCCAGCTCGTCTTTTTGAGACGTTACCAGGTATATTGGCAGAGTCTGGCTCTGTTCTTGGAAACAGCACTCGAGGGACGAAAATACATGTGTGATGGACAAACTTCCTTTTTCCAGTGGCCACAACAGACCTCCTCAAGGATGGAGAGGGTAGCGGTAGGAGCCATTTATGAACTGATGTATGTTCTAAATTAATTCGTTAATTTCCTAAAACTTCGAAAGGAGGAAACATGTTACTTTATCTGAATTTGGTCCTACATTCAGAAGCACCAGCATGGCTGCGGTGGGCCCTGCCCCTGAACGTGTCAGACGCTGCTGGGTCTAATGGTGTCGGCCTTAATGCAATCCGAGATCAGGAAATTTCGACTCGTTCCTATGGGAGATTAAATATGTTCACATTGGAAGAGGAAAAATGGTATAAACTCTGAACAGAGAAATCTCGTTCCTTCCAAGCAGGGGAGATATGCAATTGAAATCAGACCTTTATTTTTTATAAATAATGGCTACAAGTCATTGTTCCAGAGTTAGGCTAGAAAACGGTGTTTGTCCCTTTTTTTTAAAGGCTCTGTGATTGGCTAGTTTTATGTTTGCTTTATGCTCAGAAAATGTTCCCAGCTCCCCTAACGATGCTTACAGTGCAGGATTGTTTTTCATGGGAAGACAGTCAGTTCGCTCAATAATCGTGCAGGAGAAAAATGCTCATTTTCTGTTTTCGTTGGAGTAGTATCGTTCTGGTACGTTTGGGAGTCAGTCTCACCCTTGGGTGCCGTGCACCTAAGGATGCTTCGGGAAGGCTGCGCCAGTTTGCTCACGCGATAGGGATAAGGAAGGGAATTTGTGTCGTAGCTGCGATGGCCACCATATGTTGTGCTGCGTTGCAAAGATCACGCATGTTTACAGGCGTTTTAATGACACTGCGTGGTTTCTAGGGTGCGTGCACCTCGTAGGGCCTGCCTGGGGAGCAGGGGCTGCCTTCCTGTCCTGTCCGTTGTCAGCTGTGAACGTGCTATAGAGGTTACAGATAACACGATGCGGATAGAAGCCCGCACCTCCTGGCCACATGCCTTCTAAGAGGCTCCCAGTACAACTTAGCCACTGCCCTGCTGTAGGTGACCCCCTCCCCCACTCTCTCTCCCGCGCTGTCTTTACGTAAATGTATACATGCCTTCCTTTGGTGTTTCTCCGTTTGTGATAGGTATATTTCCCATGGAGAAAAGTAACTCCCATTCATGGATATTTCTGAGCCCATTTTAACCACCCATTTGAAGTTATTTTCCAGATCACTGTTGCTAGAGATCTGTGGCTTGTTTTTTTCTCTTGAAACAATAGAGGAATGTTTACGTTTCTCATTGTACTTGTAAAGGGTGAAGGAAGTCCTGGGAAAGATCTGGTACCGCATTCTCGGTTCTGGGCTCTGATGATGACAGAGTCACGGAGGTATGTGGGGGTGGGGTGCAAACCTGACTCTCAAGGTTCCTCGGGCCAGTCTGGCCATCAAAGAGACAGGAGACAGGTTGGCAGTGAGCAAACCGCATGCATAGGTATGGATGGGAACGCCCCCCCCCAATAGGGAGTGCCTGGGAGGTTCAGAGATGGAGGGGAAGCTGGAGGTCAGACATTCTGAGGGAGGGGTGAGGGGAGGTGCCTGCAGGGATTCAGAGGGTCATTGCCCAGGGACAAGAGAGCAGAGGCTTAGTAAGCAGTTCGCCTGCCCTGAGACAGTTCAGAGGTTCTCTCTGGTGATGTGGTCTCTCCCAGGCCAGGCCCCTCATTCCAAGTCTTCGCCCAGATAAAGAGGGGCAGGACTTCCTCTTGGCCTGAGGCTGAAACTGGCCTTGCTCCTGTTCCAGCTCAGAGAGTCTGCACACCACACACAGCAGCTCCTCTCCAGGTGCTAGTCCCCCCCCCCCCCATCTCCCCCCGCCCCCCCCCCCCGCCCCAGGCCTTTTCTGCTTTTCTTCAGTAGAGCCACAGGCAAACTGTACATTACTGGCCAGCTCATAAGGTACAGTGAAGCGAGCGGGTCCTGTGGAAGTGCAGCGTTTTCCTGCAATTGTACAGCTTTTTCTTACAATTATAAGATGTGACTGTGGCCCTGTTTCCTGAAACTCCAACCACAGGTCCTCCGAGAATTT